ACTTATTCCATCTTCCCAGTCGTTCCACCCAAATAGCAAATTTAACACCAAAGTGGATCTCTCTTGCAATATCCGAAATATCCGCCACCAACGCACTATGCTTCGACTCCTCAACTATAATTGCGTGCGACTCATTTATAAAAATTTGCAATACCGAGTTTAAAATCTTATGATTTACGATTCAAATCTTACGATTCAATTATTCATACCTAAGTCGATTCAAATGTTAAAATAGATCTTAAATATCGACAAAACGGTCAAATTTTACGATATACGATTTAAGAAAACAATAATATATTTATTATATTATTTACAATTAACGTGTTATAATTACTATTTTGGTCCATACATTGTATCCCGTTTTTGGTTTTGGTCCTTAAACCCGAAATACCCCCAAGTGTAGGTCAACTGGTAATTTCCGAAAATCTACCTCTTTGGTTGAAGCAATTCTGAAAATTGCAGAATCACCCCTATACATAGTCAATCTTCCTAGCCGCTCCACCCAAATTGCAAATTTGACCCCAAAGTGGATCTCTCTTTCAATATCCAAAATATCCGACACATTTATGAAAATTCGCAATACCGAGCATTAAATCGTATGATTTACGATTCAAATCTTACGATTCAATTCATTCATATCTATGTTGATTCAAAGGTTAAAATAAATCTTAAATATCAATAAATCGATCAAATTTTACAATTTTTGTTTCCTATATTATTATACCTCTTTTCAATTTTGGTCCTTAGACCAGAAATGCACCCCAAGTGGGGGTCAATTTGTAATTTTTGGAAATCAACCTCCCTGGCCGAAACAATTTTGAAAATTGCAGAACCACCCCTATACCTACTCCATCTTCCCAGCCGCTCCACCCAAATTGCATATTTAACCCCAAAGTGGATAACTCTTGCAATATCTTAAATATCCGCCACCAAACCAATATGCTTCAAGTCCTCCTCAGCTATAATCGCGTTTGACTCATTTACGAACATTCGCAATAACGAGTTTAAAATCTTATGATTTACGATTCAAATCTTACGATTCAATCCGTTCATACCTAAGTCGATTCAAAAGTTAAAATATATCTTAAATATCAACAAGACGATCAAATTTTACAATTTACAATTGAAGAAAACTTTAATTTATTATATTATTTCTAATAAAACTGCGATAATTACAGATTTGGTCCATATATTATATACGAATTTTAATTTTGATCCTTAAACCGGAAATGTCCCCAAGTGGAGGTCAATTTGTAATTTGAAAAAATCCACCTCCCTGGCTCAAACAGTTTTGAAAATTGCAGAATCACCCTTATACTTACTCCATCTTCTTATCCGCTCCACCCAAATTGCAAATTTGACCCCAAAGTGGATCTTTCTTTCAATATCCAAAATATCTGCTAGAATTCGCAATATCGAGCATAAAACCTTATGATTTACGATTCAAATCTTACGATTCAATTCATTCATATCTATGTCGATCCAAATGTTAAAATAAATCTGAAATATCAACAAATCGATCATTTTTTACGATTTTTGGTCTCTATATTATATACCTATTTCGCATCGCACGTGCCGTCATTCAGATAGCCTTTACGGAAGGAAGAAAAATTAACTCCTGATTAATCAGCTTTCGTTAACACAGAAACGAGTTTGTATTTTGACAATCATTTGTGCACCAGCAAATTCCATTGTTTCTAAGGGAGTGGACCCCCAGC